AGTACCATAACGGCAAGGAACAAAAGAAAGTCGCGCGACTATTGCTAATCCGTCTCGTTATTATCATCTTCGCCCTCCTACGTCATCTGCCGACTACATCCTCTGGCTTTGACTTCAACATATGCGGTATGGCTTGAAGCTTGAGCAAGTTTTCTTGGGCCTGAATGTGGTTTTGATGTATTTATTTATAATGTTCTTGAAGCTGTAATAGCTTCTGAGCTGCTCATTATATGTATGCACATATGTTTCTAATCGCTTATTCTCATCTCACTTATTCGCAACTGCTTTAAAAACTTGTATTTTTATTCTGTGTGCTTGATGTGTTGCTAATGCGTCAATCATTCTACACCTTACAATTTGGTCCCCAGGGTAGGCGCAGTTCCAGGCTGGACCACAGGTCGTACACCGAGGATTCGCACCAGACAGTCCGTCCTCAGCGGCAGTAACACTCTTAGAATCGGCGTGGCGACCAAGGGCTTCAAAGTCCTGGCAGGCTTGCGTATCAAAGGGAAGGCGAGTAGGTAGCAGTAGCAGCGTAAGACAGTTGCCAATGGTGAAAGGCTTCTGTTCAACCACGAGAGCTTGAGCGAATTCGTTTTTTCTACTGCATGAGTGAGAGGGAATGTGCCTTGTGGAGTTCGTTATGTTACGGAGGAGACAGATGGACTGTGCCTGACTTGAGAAAAGGTGATGGTGAGTGGATGTCTTCAATTCATACTTTTCTTTGTCTACTTCATTCACTTTGATTTCTTTCAACTGTCAACTTACTGAAATGGGAACACACACTATGTTCAAGCATTTTATTTGACTTCGACGGAGAGCCAGTAAACCAGCTCATGTATGAAAATCCAAGTCAACGGTAAGGGAACTGACAGAAAATGAGCACTCTGTCGGCTGTAGAGAACCATCTTCACTTGATGGAAAATTCATAGGCGTAAAGTATGGGTTGCTCTTGTTTCGAATAGCACAATGAAATTCAGCAACTCACTGCTGGTATGTCTACTCGTCACAGAGCATAAAAGAAAAGTTAAAAGTGCTCATTTTTCCTGATTACCACTCCATGCAGACAAACTTAGAATTAAGTAGTATTCGTTCCTGGTAAGAAAACAAAATGGGGACTCCTGTAGAAAAGTAATTTTTGGATATATCCAAACTTTTCATACGGACCGCTTGAGCTCGCAGGAAGACACAGTGAAATACTATAAAACATTTCTGAAGTGATGTGGTAGGTCAAAAACATCTGAAGGGTTCAGTAAAAATCAAATTCTAAAAGTGCCGAATATGTTACTATTACTATGATTACTCGTTAGTGCGAAAACTCAATGAAAATCCTTCTTCTGTTCAGGCAGACGATAGTTACAGTGATGTTGAGCTGGAGATTTTGCTGTTAGCCGACGACAATGCGGCTTTCGACGTGACGAGCCCATGGGACCATTCCCCTCTTTTCGCGCGCGCGACTGGCACCCACTGGTGGGTGACACTGTCCCACGAGAAAATTCTTTCGCTGGCTTAATGAATTTGGCAATTGGTAAGAATCAAGAAAATGTGTGTGCACTCAAAATTGTGTGCCAATGTCCCATGCACTAGTCATAGCGGCATCCACCGGTGGGTGCCATTGTAGTCAAAGGGTTAATTGGAGTTGGCCGGAAGTTACATTGTGTTACGCTTCGCTGCAGATTCCCTTTTTTCAGAAGCCTAAAGATGGCTGTCCCGCAAGACCGATATTAATTTACTGTTCTGTTCGATATTCGAAAGTATGACGTGTTCGAACCACGTTCTCTAAACAACTGCGAATTTTGGGTTCGCTGAAAATTCGAAGCTTAACAGGAATCAGTGATGATGTAATCTCGATCAGGTACACTATGTACAATACTGTAAGCGAAAAGCGGGATATGAAATGGGTCATGGATAATTTTAGCTTCGATACCCATTGATTATTTATCTCCAATGAAGTCATCGCATACACACATAACGTGAGGGCCCTTTCTCCTCTGCTATGGATCATACTACTCCTCTACTCAATCTTACAAGTCCGGGGCTGTTTATATGTTTAGTGGTGATCAAAACAATCTTACAAGGGAGTCCAAGGAAGTGCGTTAGTGTGGGAGCGAATTTCCTCCACGCCGCTAGGAGGAGAAATTTTGAGCTATTCAGGCTGGCATCAAGGAATAAGGAGATTGACCTTTGGTGGGAATGGAAGCTGGAACTATTGTGTAGCTTATACCTTCTACTAATCGAGGTATTATAAAAGCAGTGTTTAGTTTGACAAACTCACGGGAGGCTCTGGTTTTTCACCCTGACCGGTTTTATTCGGGAGCTAAGAATAAGCCGTTCCATACTACTGCGTTTGAGAATTATAGGTTTCAGAATTTCATCATTTCGTTGTGGAATGTTTATTGCATTCGTTTCTGTCAATTCTTCTAAATGTTTTATTCCCACAAATTGTTGTTTTTTACTCTTTTTACTCCGCAACAAGTCCCTCTGAATGCTGAGTAAACTAGTTACCCAATCATGGACCAACATGATTTCGCAACCTTATTAGTTTCATTTTGCTTTGCTGTCGAGTAATTAATGGGATGATTATTCGGAAGATTGAAAACGTGGGTGTGGCTCATGAGTTAGTTATCGGTGTTATTGTATTACTATTAATAATGGTTTTATCAAGGGCAGTCAAGAAGGTTATGAGCATGGCAATGTTTTATCAATTTTCGTGTTATTGGAATATCGGTAGTTGAGGTAGTCTATAAACAAGGAAGAAGGTCTCGAGACGAATAAAGTCATTTACGGTTATAGCGGTACTGTATCAGAAACAAATAATAAATAATTGCATTGTATGAGCTTGTGCTAATTCTCGTTGCTCTTGTGTTTACATTTGTTCCTTACCACTACGAGTGATACTTATCCTTCTATGGCCTGATACAACGGTAGAGCATTTTGCAATTTTTCTCTTACCGAATATTAAGTGTGAATGTAAGCATATGCGATGTTTTAATATTACTTGGTTGCTCTATAGGAGACACACCCTAAGTGTTTTGTATGTTAGCTCTAGCAAGCAGTTGTTTGGCAATATTGAAGAAACCAGAATAGAATTGTTTCTTAATAAGATTTGTTATATTCACACAAAATTTGTAATCATTCTAGGCAGAGTGCCTAATCAGTTGTGTTTTAGTAAGTATGGTGTCCGATTGTACTGGTTTGTCTAAGTACCTTTTGTGTAATTTGATGGTGTCGTCAGTAACTAAAAAANAAAAAATTGAAAAAGGAATCCAGCCCATTAATTTCTCCACCCTTGTCTTCCATTAAAGATGTTCAGTATCGTTGTGACGGAATAGAGGTGTTCACTGGGCTCACAGAGGAGGCCGCAAAAAAGTTAACGTGCGCATCAAAGGCACAGAACACAATAATTTCGATGTGCCTTTTCAAACGAAACAACGAAAGTATTAGTGCAGAACAGAGCATCGCAAAATTGGAAATTCTTCGGAGTTGGCTAATTTGTCTTCTTCAAACTAATTTATGTAGGAGATTTTACAAGATTGACGGAGTTGATATAGATGGGTATTTGGACGAGATCCCTACCATGTGCGGTTGCGTCGACAGCTGGCTACAGTAAGCGGACAATGCCAAGAAGTCGCGCTGCGCTGTCGCTACGGGCCGTGATTGCACATTTCATAAATTTTGTGCTGCTGTATTTTTCACATTGTTGTTCTTTGTTATTGTTCTCACATTGAATTCTTAGCGTATTATTGCTATTGTTGTTATTTAGTTGTTATATCACATAATGCGATGATTTCTGATCAATTGGAACTTTCTACTTANGTGTCCATTGTAAGGCCTCTATTAGGCTGTTGAAATATTGCCTTTCATGGGTGTGATGTACAATAAAGACATCTTCGAGTATTTATTACGTTCCATTGAGACCGACACTCTGCCCAATAATCCATTTGCTACAACTGAAGGTTAGAGATTTGTTCCAGAATAATATTTCAGAAACCATTTTTATCGTAGACTTTTGCTCTCAAGGACTCAGATCCGTGACCGTGAAATGAAGATAGGGACTTCTTAACTCGTCCTAACGAACACACCCTTACTTCGATCTTTTCGTTGCTGTTCGAGGATGGAAGGGAAGATAGTCATGTGATTATTATTAGTGCTAAAGATTATAACACTGCACAAGTGGAGGATTCAAAGTAAGCGCTCCAAAGGGCATCAGTATCATATACAGAGTGGATAGTAGTTGACATATGCTAAAAGATTTCCTTAACGAAGGCTGAACGATGGTAAAAGACGTTTTGATGACAATGTGTCGAGGCATTTTCATCATTAAAACGAGAAAAGTGACTGGTTGATACGTAATCACCACAAAAAGGCTGTTCATCTCGGAGCCCGGGTTCAACGATTCTAGGAAAGAATAAGAAAGCCTCAAACTCCCAGAGACATGTTCTTACTTATCTATAAATACTCTGCACGTTATTACACCGTTCATATAAATGCGTGCGTTCCACTTCATAAGAAGCTCCCAATTCGCTCAATGGTTTAGATGCAATATGCGTAATAAACTACACCTATACTTGAAAAATCGATTTTTGGGGTGGTAAATTTTGCGAGATATGCGCTATTTCTACAGATACTATGAAATTTTATGTGGTCTAAGTACAAAAACGCTTCTGCCACAGAACAGCGCCCCAAAGAGGGGATGAGACGAACAAACTGAGCAAGCAGACTCAGACTTTTCAAAAATAAAGTGCAGGAAACCCCGAATCACCATAAATTATTGCTTCTAGAAAAAAGTTGATTTATTGACCCATCACTAATTTGTATCTCACAACAGCCCCTTTCGCAACGTGCTTTTTTGATAGTGGAGAAACTTCAATGAAGGAAAAGACGACGTACTCTTTCAAGGGTAGACTCGTTCCTTCGATGGGTATGACCGCTCTTTTTCTTCTACTGCCGGCCACTGACAACTGCATATAAATTGTGCTAAGGTCGACGCTACAGCAATCATGTTCTACCGAGTCCTTTGCCTTTTGATTATTCTCCATGCAACTAATGCTCGTTTGCTTCGCGCTCGAGTAGCTCCTAGAGCAGTGGGTCATGGTAGGTATTTCCATATAACCACTTTCACTTCTGAAGAGCCTAGTCCTTCAATTGCTGCACAATAATCTTATATTTGCCACACTTCCAAAGTGCATTCGTTGTCCAGTAGCAAACCGCTGTAGCAATTTTCAAGCTTAACGTTTCTGATCACATCGAATGCTTTTGGTTAACTTGCTGTAGCTCGCGAAGCTGATGCTGAAGGCTGTTAATCAAAATGGTCAGATCCATAAGTGATGTAGGCTGGAGATAACAGATAGTTTACCCATATCTGCATGATACAGGGAAGTTGTTGCTCCAAGCGCCCGCAGAATGTGCAAAACATTCCGGAATAGCAGTATAGGCTCTTAGGCAGTGGATTGGGTGTGATGAGTTTTCCTCTAGCCCTACGAGGTTCTAAGAAAGGTACTGAGACTTACTAAGACATTCGTTCCACTGCATTGACCAAATAGGCATTCAGCACATGGGACAATCCTCCGAGTACTCCAATATGAGGGATTTTGAGGACGTTCACCGAGTGAAATTGAGAACTTTCTGATTGGTACTTACTCTAAATTGTAACGAGCTATTTTTCGGCACTATCCACGACTGCTTTTGAGGTAACAATTACGAATTATACTAGCGCATGGGGTTTTCATCCAGACAATACACCTTGAAGCGAACGTTCAAGAACGATCCCCTGCGAAGCTTTTGCGTTTCTTATAGCTAAATATATTCAATGTATTTTTTAGACGGCTCTGAAGAACGACCGGATATGAATATTTGTTCATTTTGTATGTTCTAATTACTCGTGAGTCGAAAAAGAATTTGTGTTCAGTTGCGAAGCGCGGCAACGCATATGGCGATGAGGCGGTTACTCCACCAATGACCGGTGCCTCCTTCGTCCAAGAGCCTGTGGAAGAGCAGACAGTTGCTACAGTGGCTCAGGCGCCGGTACAGGAACCGTCTGTAGAAGCGAGTGGGTATCGTAAGAAAAGGACCACTTTCGAGGTTCTCCATAAGCGACTTCCAAAGGTCTGAGCATAACTGAGATAAGACAGATTTTGATTTTGTGGACTAGTGGTAGCATTTTTTCTTGTATGGAATCAAGACATTGTAGCAAAATGTTTATTTTTCAATAAATAAATTGGATTTTGAACATGTATGCACATTAAATAACATTTAATAGCATTGATACAGACAGAATTGAAATCGAGTACGAGCAGTTATGTTGACATTGAATAACCAACAAAGAGAAATGTATTGTATCGATGAAGTCACAACGCGAAAACATCAGCTCATCTCATCAGTTGCGTACCGTTCCAAGATGGGGAAATATCTTTGAGTTTTAGCTACCAGCTTAGCTAGTAGGCTTCATTTTGAGTTGATGACGTACATTTGGCAAGGGAGACGAGCTGATGAAGTATGGCCGCAGGCTGCAGGATGTAACATTCTTACTGTGTTGCAACAGATCCATGCTTTAATCTTCCGTTTATAAAGTTCTTATGCTTTTAAAAATGATTCTCGGGGTTGGTTTTCCTAATATCTTGCTACCAAAACGTTTGACTCCACAGCAGATTGAAACATAAGACCAAGTGTCCAACAGCAACGGCAGGAAATAGATCGTCACCAGTTGGGCAGGATCGATACCTCGCCATCGTCAGTGGTTGCGCGACTCAGACTCTGAGTGCAACCATCAAGTCGTGAACTCCAGGAACATTGGTTTGGAAGCTATCCTGTTTCCCTGCCCTGAAGCTCCCATTTCAATCTCCATGTTCACCTTTCTTTAAACCTGGGCATCTGTACTGTTATTTGTCAACTCTTCTGTGCCATACAGGTTTTTAATGGTGAAATTTTTATTCGCCTGACCTTTCGACTATCTCGTCTTTATCGAAGGCCTGAAAGCGTATCGCAACTTTATAGTGTTACCTATCACGCTTGACGTAGACCAGCTCCTAACTAGTTGCAACTCAGGCAGACGAACTTACAACTAATAAGAAACTCCGATAAGTCACTCACGTCAATTCCACCAATACCGAACAGTTGCTCAAGCTTTGTGACGATAGAGCTCCCATTTCAATAACGCGTGATTGTTCTATAACGGACACTCCCTCTGTACTTTGCACGTTAGCTCTAGCAAGCAGTTGTTGAAATTGAAGTAACAAGAATAGATTTGTTTCTCAGTTAGATCTATTATATTACCACAAAATTTACAATCATTTTGGTACAATATGCATCAAAATGTATGGAATACATTGGCATTTGGTCTAGATCTCCATCAGGTCTCCATTTAGACCAAATGCCCTTCAATCAACTGATTTGGCGAATGGGAGTAAATTTCTTCACTCTTTGAGTAGTCCACTTTGCAATCGCATAGCGAGTAAGTAAAATTTGATGCATCCAGAGAAGTGGCTGCTCGGGAAAAAGCAGATCTGAATGAGACTTTTTTTCCCGAAACCTCCGCTACTAATACACCGAGCTTAGGGGATTGCTTCATAGGTACTCAGAATTCCAAGAGTTTAGCCAACTTATTCTCCATTGCGAAACGGAGCGGACTCACCCCAGACTACTTTTTGACGTCCTCTGATGTACTGATCTTTGTTCCTTCAATTCATTAGAGCGCCTACACGATCCTGATTCTGAAGCCCTAGCATGGTATGGGTTCAAGTCCCGTCCGAGATTGAAGTTTTGACAATAAATCGCTAACCTCATGAGATTTTCGCGTTTTGCGGCGAAGTAACAGCAGGTAACAAAACCAAGTCGAAACTGAAGCCATACTTTTCTCAGCCCAATGGCGATCTTTGCAACCATGCTCCCTTGGAAAGGCTGCGCTCTCCCTTTCCACGCTCTTTTCCTTAATCGCCTTTTGCAATGTTTTGAACTTCTGCTTTCAAAACCAAACAAAACCCTATCCCTCTCCGAATTTCCCTCGCGATCCACCCCGTCCCCGTGATTTCCGTACACTTTCTTGGGAATGAGAAGTTCGGTCGATGGCTTACTTGCTTAGATATTTCGTCAGATTCTGTGCCATCTTTCATTTCCCTTCCGACACGAGTTAGGGGCGTACTATACACATTGTGGTAGACGGAGGGCTACTAATGACCATTTACCAACCGCTAAATATCCTTAAGAAGGAAGGATGTGTTTTATGAGGAGTTAAGAGAATTTAACAGGGAGTCTCGTGCCGTCACCGAAGCATTTCCGAGACAGTAATGGCAACCATTCTGTTGAATGAAGGTTTCATCTGATAGTTGGATTTTGAATCTAAAAACTTGCTGAACTTGTTGTTGACTTTGGTTGTTGTTACATATCGAGCGACCTAATACATCAACCCTTATGAACGCTGTCACAAAAATCTTCTACTTCCTCACGTCAAGATTGAACTAATGAACCGGAACTGTCATTAGAACGCTTGGCCTTCAAACATTTATTATTTTACCCCAGCCTTATGGTAACGAAGTGTTCGCTGAACCACCATTATATGACAATTTTCACCCTCTTACATATATTATCCCAACACACATCGAACAATAACTCAACGACCGCACGTTGCAGATCTTTGATGACAATTTTCTTCATAGTTTTCTAAATTTTAAACCTATTCTAGAAACAATGAGAGATAGAGAAAATCATTAAAAGCCATTGTTAGCACCAAAGAGCCAAAGATTAGCTGGGCCGGACGCGATATACGACGTTATGATGGCCCTTGGATCAAGATGGTTACTAGCTGGATCCCTCGGGACGTCAAACGATGGCCACCAGGACGAGGGTCAGACTTCTTCACGGAAGCTTTCAACGGAAGGAATGCTTTGCCTGTGTCCTCCGATCCACTGGACTACACTGGCTTGCGACAGAGACCAATGGAGACGTTACTGGGACAGCTCGAGAAAATCGATGATTAACGGGACAACGGGTGACAGTATACAGAATATGAGGAATGAACTAACCCATCAGAATTCAGCAAATTCCCAAAGGCCACAACTTCAGGAATTATTAGGATCATCTGCCAACTTTTTGCCAATTTGTTCAGTTCTGTTAGCGGTGCATGAAATTTCCGAGGGTACTTCATAAAATACGTAAACGAGGTACTAATCAACATTTGGTTACATTCCAAAGAGCTTCTGAACTCGTGAAAGAACAAAGAGCTACTAATCTCACAGAACCAATGATTCTCTTTTTGGGTAGCGTTTCTTCTGTGTTCTGGGTTTTTGTGAGGTTGAAAAAATCCCTGTTACATCACAATGGCCAAGGTCAAACAACGAGCTCAAATTGAACCAGTTTCAGTTTTGTTCTCGCAAAACATCAATTATTTGTTAATAAAGAATTCCAAGAACGGTAATTAGTTTATGGCGGGCCTCCCAAAAGTGTTTTTCAATGCTCTTTACCCTATCAATTATATGACAGATCACCTGGAATTATTCCCATGGCCAATCAAATATCATTTCTTTAATGACCATGTGATTCGAATGGCACCAACAGAGTTTCTTTATGCAGAGCAGTGACTAATGACTATTTCTAATGTTCTTTGAAATAGAGAATAATATCTTCCAAGATGAAATGGTTAGTTTCACTGCTATTCGAAGTTGGCTAGACTTTCTCAGCAAACCAAGGTAATTGTAATTGCTACTCTTTCGAAGTACGTGAAACGGCACGTACGAATAACTAGCTAAATAAACAAGTAAGCAACTATTGATACAACAAATAATCATTTGATCAATAAATTTGAAACTTATTACATGCCCTTACGGAGCATGTTAGAGAAACATCAAAAACAAACAAACACACCCAAAAGATAAAACCTAAAACACCACTAATGAACAAATAATGGGAGCACAAATGAATATATTCAAAAATTTTAGTTCAAAAAAAAGTGAAGAGATGGACGGTATGTACCGGGATGCCCTTCTAAGAAAATAAGTTATAACAATTTATCTGTTCTATATTATGACTGCTCTAAAAATCATTCTTCAGTTAGTCCTTAGCTTAAAGGCACTGTTCACGAAAAAATGGTTTCGGAGATTTGCACATGGTTTGAATTCGACGCCCCCTCTGATACCATTTGTGCAGGAATGAGGTCGGAAATGGTCTGGATAGGGCACAATAAGGGGCAGGAGAGTAAGCCACGGTCGCCCTCCGCCCCTCGCTGGGCTGACTACGAAATCTAATTGCCGTTCACCACTTTCCCATTGGAGCGAAGTAGGTGAAAAATCGATAAGGTGGTTGGCAAATTGCCAGAGTCTGCCAGTCAGATTGTCAGGCAAATTGGGTGTGTTGTCTGCTATTGCAGACATTGCGTCGCCTTCGTGCACTGGCCCGAACACTCCCTAACCGCCGTTCTTTCAATGTGAAACTCGTCCAACCCCCCTTTCCAGCTCTTTTCAACCCTTTCTATCTCTTTTTGTTTATCGTTTTTTGCGCTTTTTTCGTTGTTATCGCTTTATTCTAGAGTACTTCTATGAATACCCGCCCAAAAAGGGTACCCTAAGTTTATCGTAAACGGTGCCTTTAATTAACAAGAAGCATCATCGGAGGTTTGTAGCCACTGTACTACTTCGCTTACAATGCGGAGGAGTGAAGAAAAAGAGAGTGGCGGGAATTTGGAAGCAAATCGATGATGAAGAGACGGGAATTCAGTCACCCTTTCTTTTCTCGTTCATGGTCCATCCTCACAGTTCATGAAAGGGGATCCACATCCGCGAGATTTTGTGACGGCTAGTGCAATTGGAAGTTTACTGGCTGGACGGCTATTTTTCAGCACATCAAACGAACACCAGGTCGATCGACAGCAAGATGGTCGGACCTCACCACTGAACGAATGGTATGCCTCCATTACTTATAATGAACAGGGCCACTGGATTATAATGGCTCGCGACAGGTTAAATTGGAGGTATTACTGATGCTTATATGGGCAAATCGGCGATGAACGGGACGACAGGTTTCAATGCTCATTCTATTCATAGGACCTATCCTTCGATGCAGACCGTGGGCGCCAACTGGATAACATGGATATCGTGAGGACTTCTCTTTACAATCTAAAAATGGTCACGATTCTTTTTGTTGCCATATAAGGAGCTCTAAAGCAGCACCACTATGGACATGACATCGGAGGCACACGATTTTTTTCGTGTGATGCAGATTGAAAGTTTTTCGGTACTCATACCTCATGATAGTGGCCTAATTACTTTCAATCCTTAAAGACAACTCATATGACCGTAGGCATGTGCAGCGAGAGAGTTGTAGTACCCTGAGAACCTTGAAGTTTTCTCAAGCTGCTCAAATTTTTCTATGTTAGATCTTGTACCCGAGTGATTCCTCACGTACAGAAGCGAGCTTTGTAAGGGCAAGATTACAATTTTCGGCTGATCATTTTGGTAATTGCCACGAAGTTACTGCCGTGTGAGTGTCTGAACCACATGAACTCGTTTACAAATCCCTCCACCTAATTGTATTAGTTTGTGTCAGTCTAGAAGAATACAAAGGAAGCCGAAAAACGTCAGCAGGAGTGAGATGTCGATAAGTAAAGAAGAAACGGAAAATAATGAATTAAATATTTCTCTAAATCAATTTTATCAAACCTGAGAGATTGGGAGACGCCACATACTCACTACTCTCCTATTGAGGTTTTAGAGTTTCAAAATGAGAACGTAACCCAAGCGATGATTAACGAAAATCGGCAGTGTGCAGGAGAGAAATGGTCGGTCTCAACTGTATTCGGTGTCATTCATTTCCTTTACTTGGGGTGAAGGCATGGCTTCACCTTGCTGTCGGCGCTATCCATGCAATGTAAACCTCGGGTCTCACGCGTGAATTTGCCCAGAAAGGAGTAAAAACTGAAGTTAGACAGTGGTACGCAAGGATGATGAGGCAAAGAAGGCTCGAGTCTTCACTTATTTATGTAAGTACTGGGACTTCTACTTTTCTATTAGCAACCCGATTCTTCTCATGTTCTTTGATCAGCAATACACTTGATTGATTTCCATGACGACTTTAGCAGCGATCACATTCGATTTAATGGCAAGAAGAAATCAACGTAAATTTGTACTAAAAGACAAAAGGGAGTGGTTCAATGTGCAAGAGTTCGCTGAAGAATAAAAACTTAATTTGCTTGATTAGCGAGACCAAGGAGGTTTTGTACGAAGAACTAAATAGAAACGCTCCGCTGCCACATTAAATTGATCAAGCACGAGAGGTACGATTAAGGACGATTAGAGCGGAACGAAAGGTTAAATGTCTGAAACTTGTAATTGAACTATTTTTATCAACAGCGGGACCGAGCAGAATTGCCTGTACGCGAAGGTTCACTGCAGGAAATAGCATTACCGTAGTTAAAAATGTATGTAATCAGGACCTTAATTCGAATTTTATCATGAAAGTCAAGTTTTTCAAGGAAAATTTCTGGGTTCGGCTTCGCCCTTCTTCTTTTTGAGAGTTTTAGACCCTTGAATGAATACACTATAGAAGCCCATCACCTCCTATGACGACAGCCCTGTTTCTGCTTCATTGCTGATGAGGTCCTGCATAGGAATGCCAACTTCTAAATCGCTTGGACCAAACTCTGTGAGCTCTCCGATTACTCTGGTTAGAGCAGAATTACCCCCAGTCTACCTTCGCAAATGAATTTCACTGTAAACTCAGAACTCAGCAGTCTTTTACGCTACTGTTACTACAAACTTCAACTCCAATCAAAACGTACACAATGAAAAGTGGGTTTCACTGCTCTTTGCACCTTACCATGACGTTTGGTTGGAGACGGTGTTGAGAACTTTTCTTCCACGCTCATGAGTGAGGCCAAGATGTTTCATCGAGTCCTGCGAGAAACAATTTACACTGTCAGGATATAAGGTCTAAGGAATTAGGGCAGATTCCATTGAGTTTAGGTTTCCTAGAAGAGTGAAGCGCCTCTCTACATACTGATCTCTTGACTACTTCCAATTAGTCATCTATATATAGTTTGGGAACCCGTCACTCTCTTTGAAGACGGTTTTTCAAGTAACGTACACAAGTTTTCGAGCAGCAGCAAGCTGATCGGTGAACTGGTCGATTGTTTGAACACTTCGCCTTTTTGTGGTGATGTTTTCTTGCGTATAACGCTGAATCGAGTGCTTTGTGTACACAATGACAACAACCGAAGTGGTCAGCCACGCTTCCATTAGAGGGAGTGGTCAGGGTGGACCTCGAGGCCTCTATGGTCATTCGACTCCCATTCACCTCAGTCATGCAACCGGTCATCATACATTTTGCCCTTTTCGCTATCGGTTTCTGTTTATCAACTGCAACAGACATCAGATACGGTGAGTCACCGGCCCCCCACGGGAAACATCGAAAGCGATTATTTCAGCTTTCTTTCTTTCAAATCTTTTTGCTCTTAAAAAATATTCTGGGAATAAACAGGCATCCATTTTCACCTTTCCTTTTACTTAGTCGAAGCCACTAGTGAGAGATAATTCTTTCGGTGCAGATTTATCAGGAAAAGACTACAGATTGACCTTGAACGACTTTCTATGAATCTCAAACACCGATCTCAAATATTTTGGCTTTCAAGCTCTGACGAAGGTGAAAACTCCGAAGCTCCGGTGAGGAGATGTAACATCTTGGCTGAGGCTTTACAAGAACACCTTTATTACACATTAGTTTTAAGTGAAAAGACCAGGTTGCAAAAAATACATAGCACACATTGACGTGCATTCATCATTGTTGGGTGATCGGAAGAGTACGGTATTTTACAATCTGGTTGAAGAATTCAAAAATCGAAACTAAGACTTGCAACTGAGGTTTCATGATGGCGAATGCGAAATAGGGCTAGTCCCTATCAGTACCTGCTGGGGCCAAACATGATTGTCGTTACTGTTCTCTACGTGCACATCCATTGCCCACACGACTCTTTATACATGCCGAATAGTTTTGGGAGGCAACTCGACAAGCAAGAGGAAAGGTGAAAGTGGATTACAATTTTTTTGCAAAAGGCCTGAACGGGCACTGACTGGTACAAATATGTTCCCACGACCTTGAAACGGAGCTTCCAATGTATGGGAGCATTCGGTTGTGGAATCTTGTCCCGAACAGCGTACCGCGCTCACCGCATTCGCTTTAGCTGGAGCGCACGATACATATAAGGGTAAATCTCGAGTTCTCAGTGAATGACCACTGGAATCGCCGCGAAAACAATGCCGCATGTGTGTCGAGAATTGAGAAAACGGGAAAACGAGAGCGGAAATTCGAGAAGAAAGGCTGCCCCAAGTTGAATACTGAATCAACATTGATTTATCTTAGAGACTTAATCTTAATTTTATTGATCCTTTATGTTTTCAACTTTCAATGAACCAAGTATTGAGGCTGTGCACACTAACAATGACATTAAGGATCTCCGAAAGCCGTTGGCCCCTGTATTCTGAACAGATGCCCACGTGGATTTCAGTGCGACGATTCTGAGTGTGTACCGGATATGGATCAAAGTAAGTTTGCTCGGCACTAGACAGGAATCTCTAGAAATAGAAGGTCAATGGCTGTAGAAGATGTCATTGGCTTCCAGAAGAGGAGCTTGGATGAATTCTTATTGTGAGACTCTTGAGAAAAAAAGTAAAAGGGTGCTCAACACTTTCGGAAGCATTGTGAAAAGTGAAAAAGTCTCCGAAAAACTATCAAATCAATGCTACCACTTGAAAAATATTTACTTTTATTGACAGCTTCTAGCTAAAACTCGAGAAAATTTTGACAGAGTCCACTTCTTGATATTGGAACAAGTGTTGATCCCATTCAGTTTCTTATCGTGTAGAATCCAATCCTAGCAGGCGAAATTAAGAAAATGTACTTCTCTCTCTTTGATTGAACGTTACCAGTGAATAAAGCCATGTTCTTTTCAATAGGCAACTAAACACTTTCTGGGATCATTTTCACGAGCAAAACGTTTGATGGTGTCTTCAGGAAATCCAAATCCANTAACTGAAAAGTACACAGAGTGGAGAGCTGCTTTTGTTTTAAGGTTATTTCTACGTCTGAAAGTTTTGCAAAAGTGGGGCGCTTAAGCGGGAGAGCCTAAAATTTTTCTTGCTCCACAGTGTTTAAAAGCAAAGTATCTAAAACGAAAGCAAAGCTTCTACAACAGCTTGCTTTTTAAAATAAGTGTCTTTTAGTCGAAGAACTCGGACCATGTGTCAATAATTTGTGCCCGAAGTCGTACCAGTGCAATGATAATACCTGCATTCGACCAATACGTGAGTTTGTTGAAAATTTGAATATCAAATTTTCAAAAATTAAAAAAAAACATTATCAAAAAATCTAACCTTGTATAAAAAGCAGAGATTCTCCAATGTGGAGCTGCTTTCTACTTAAAACCAATAAAGTAATCAATCTGAGAATTCAATTATTTGTAATCAATGTCCCAGAAAAGAGGCACAATGGAAAGCGAAAGGGTCCTTAATGGAAAAGGAGGCGTTAGGAGAAGTTGGCGTACTGAAAGATGTCCTACGGGTCCCATATTTAAGCCCTAAGCCCAGGCAAAAACTGCCCGTCCCTGAATCGGTCTGCTGGGACGATATCAATGCAAGATGGATCAGACAGGATTGAGAATGGGCGAAACATAAAGCTGTATGAGCCCTTCCGTTGTCGGGCATGGGGAAGATGTTTACTAAAATGGACAGACACGTTGATTCAGTAGATACAGTCTTCTGATCATGTGCCTGTGCATTTTTTCGTCAGGAATTAATCATAAATTTGTCCCATCTGTTGGTGGAGTGCTGAATACGGTACTTGATGACAAGGGTGTCTTCTATGTTGTCTGCATTACTTCTACCGTAACCCCATGGTGCTCCTTCAATTTGGGAACAATCCAAACGATAATTTGGATGGATCTCTCGTTTGATTAAGCATCGTTGCCACCGTACTCGTAATCCGCATACGTTCATTCAAACTACCGTAACCTTTGTATTTGTATGTCTTTTAGACCATAATTCCGTCCAAATTGGCTTGCCCTAATCACCAAAGCTCACCACGACGGTATTGCTCCAAGCTCGGGAATCTCCTACCGAGTTTCCTTTTATGTATGTGTGCAGTTACACCATTGATATCCTGATACATCGACAGCAATCCACAAAGTTTGAATGTAACCCTGCTTCTTCTCCAAATAAAGCAAAAGCTCACCTCTTGAAACGGGAAGAAATGTTTTCTTCGACTTTTACTTATGCTGTTTTATGGCTGTACAGTTGATTTGTGATGAGATTTTCAGCGAGAGCACGTGAAGGTGCGGAACCGATTGGTCCATGTGTGAACGACAAATGTCCTGACAGCCACATTTGTGTGGCGGATGATTACAAGTGTTATCCTATCGAGTGAAAAGATCATTTCTGCTCCTATGGTCTCCTAATTTATTACTATTGAGTGTTGAATCGTATAATAAAAGTTTGTACATACAGAAACAAATAGCCCAATCTGATCTGCAAAAGGTTCGATAAACTGCAACAGTACGACATCGGAAAGCTACTTTTGAAGTAATTCTTGGGTAGATTATGTGAGATCAGGCGAAGCGGCGCTCAAGCCTGCCATGCTCACTGAGCAGCCTAAACTTAATTGAAAATGATTTATGCGAAAAATACCCATCTTCTGAATCCATTGACACGACCGATCGACCCACGTGACCGGTTCTTTCTTTGTAAGGTTCCAGGATCATGGGTAGTGGAGGTCCTCTGTCATTCTGGATTCAAACGAGGGTAGTTGGTTTAGCTTGAGAGAAGGGCAGTGCGATCGTCGGAATCAGATTCATCGTTGGACCTTGATATTTTCAGGGGCCCGCTACAATTATTCACCCGAGATTGAGAAAAGATTGGCTGAATAGTTATCGGGGGGAAGGTGCTCCTTCATCTGGTACTCTTTTTGTCCATTACCTACAGTGTTAGCGGAAAAGGATGGAAAGGAGATTACGGCGAAAATTTTAGATCATGCGGTAAGAATCTGCCTAAAGTTCCGCAAAAGTCGAGATTTCCCTGAAATATCGTGTACTTCCATAGGGTCTTTAGTCGAGGACACTACCTACACACTGTACGCATAACATATCCGATCACAATCTTATATTGATCAAACTGTCTACCTTTATTTGAAATCTGCTTCCTTACAAAGTCGAATCCGGCCTGTTCGCTGCTCAAACCCATCGAAACTTGTGTCAAGCGTATGATTTCAAGGCCTCTTCCAAGCGGTTCTATGCAAACCCCGTCCAAAGGCTTGACGGCCCGAAACTGAAAAAACTAAGATGAACCCCGACCTGACCAACTGTGTGCAATATCATGAAATCTTCTGATAAGGTATGCTCAGAGAAGTGTATTTTTACAGTATTCTCATGGAAACTTCTACCAATTCTCGGCAAAATTTTGGACCTTGTTAGGTGTTTAGGGAGCTACCTGCCACACACTTATCAAAGGGCCTTAAAGTCATAAAAACTTATTGAAGAACTATGTCAACAGTGAACTCGTTTCCGTGCTACGTAGCGCATTTTCAAGAAGAGTTCTTCCAATGGTGAGACATTGAGAGATGACTGCTTCTTCAGCAGCAGTGAGGGCTAGGTATCATAAGGTCCTGGCCAACTCTTTTCATGAATACAGAACTTCTCCAATATGAATATTATCTGTATCTCACTTCCAACTGAGACGGCCTGTTCTTTTAACACCGACTGAAGTCTTCTCAACACCAGCCTGGGCGGCTCGGTCTTTCAATAACTTGGATGTTCTTGAATTCAATTTGTGACGTCGTATCGTCACGATAGAACTGTCTGAGGAACTACGCATATAATCGTACTTTTTCTTTGCACCGAGTACTTGTCCTGTCTCATGCAGACATTTGTTTAGAATTGGAAACTGGTTGAGTGGAAACTTTCCTCTAACTGATCGCATTGCCAATTCCGCCGGAATGAAGCGCCTGGTTTCATGTAATCCGATTTCCCTGACTAGTATATGTGACTACTGAAGATGAACGAAGGTACTGAATCACCTAGTAAGGTAAAGCTCCGGCAGTGAATGTGTACTGTTCAAACACCTACTTATCTACTTTGCAGTAACGATTATTAAACAAGATTCGCGTGTTTTGCACGGGGTATACGTAGTGATAACGCAACATTCAAAAAGGATTTTTTATAAGTAGCTCTGCATTTTACAAGTTTGCTCTATCAGTAATTCTTAGTAGCAAGTAATAAATGTTCAATATACATTTACGTTCAGATAATTGGATTTTGACGGGTTCTCGAAAATACTCGTAATGGTTCCGCTTAATTCATACGTTTTTGGCTGTAGCCGTTCTGCAACCAACGCCCTAAAAAGAACGCGATTTTCACGAAACGATACTTTTAAGGGGGAAAAAGTTGTGTTCCGGATTAGTGAAATGCTAAAATGTGAGGTGTGACGATGTGTTGCCTTTAAACATTACATTAATTGAGGAGAGTAACCGTAAACTCATTATCAACATTAGTCAACTAGTGAAACGCGATATAATTGATGAGGTTGGCAATTTTTTTCCTTATGATTGATGGCCTAGTAGTGGATCCGAATGTAAGACAAAATTTGATATTAATTAATGAAAAACATGCTTCACTCCAAGAATTCCAACAATGGCGTCTATTGCTGGAAAATTTCTGAAACAATCGTGAAAATGCATCAAAAAAATTGGGTAACCGCCCCCAATGGAAAAAGTGAAATGAAACGAAACCATAGAAGCATGAAAAAACAACAGGCGATTATAGCCCAATTACCAGTCAATTTACTGAAATAATGTTGGCTCGCTTTGCCGTTTTATCAGAGAAACCGTCGTCTCCAACATCTTAAAAGAATCTAATCATCCATCGAATCAGGCGATGTCAGTGACTTCTCCTTCTAACTACGATCCAGTCCTCTTCACCTTCGGCGGTGAATTCAAGTAAAGACCTTTGAAGGGAATAATAAGTGAAGTAAACCCAAGGTTTAATCAAAATCTGCAAAAAAAAAATGCCAAACAGAGGATGTTAAGAATTCACAGAGCCGTTGCCCGAGAGGGCAATAGATGACGGGTCTGAAAAATTGTACCTGCGATAGTATGCTCATGAACATCAACCATTGAGGGCTTCATCTTTGTACATGAATACGAATGTGAATAGATCAGCTTTGAAAAGGCAAAGCAAGTTTGGAATCCTTCTAGAATTCCCTCTGAGGGGTACCCAAGTGAAGAGAGTGCTCTTAAGTATCGAAGTGTTACAATTTACACTCATTNGCCAAACAGAGGATGTTAAGAATTCACAGAGCCGTTGCCCGAGAGGGCAATAGATGACGGGTCTGAAAAATTGTACCTGCGATAGTATGCTCATGAGCATCAACCATTGAGGGCTTCATCTTCGTACATGAATACGAATGTGAATAGATCAGCTTTGAAAATGCAAAGCAAGTTTGGAATCCTTCTAGAATTTCCTCTGAGGGGTACCCAAGTGAAGAGAGTGCTCTTAAGTATCGAAGTGTTACAATTTACACTCATTGGAACCGACATTAGGTTCAAATACAAAATGACTTCGACTTCATCCTACACGAAGCTGAATTGGAATGACCAGTTTGGATACCGGAGGCTTCTGGGTGAGACACTGGAGGTTCAGTCTGAAGGGCTTAGACCCTATAACAACTGCTCACAAGCTTCTATTTCCAAGACCTGAACACAGTAGCCTGGTGTCCAAGCTCAATGTTTAACAGTTGCTCCCACATTGCAAAGTCGGATCCACGGCCAGTGACTACTCCGTAGCTCTTGCAAGTCACTGCGGACAACCGATCTTTAGTGGTGTCGGATTACAATGTTTATGACAAAAAAAGATAACTACGCCAGCTTGACTGGCTCAGCTTTTTATCAAGCATGCCAAACACCCCTTTCAAAGACCTAGGGAGTGTTGAAAAGTTGAGCATCGAACCTTTCACTACCGCACGGTGATTAGTCTTTTGCAAACCGTAGATTTAGCAGAAATTTGTATCGTCACAATGCAAGATAATTCAATTAGCCGCCAAAAGTGCCAAAACTCATAAGAAATCATTGAATTGTGAAGCAAACAAACAGTTTTCAGCAGCAATAGGGGAACATGCGAAAACACAGTTTACAACCCCTGTTGCTGAACCCTTTCTACCCTTTATGGACTGCGCCGTATCATTCGATTCCCAGTCAAAATTGCACTGACATTGAATGCGTTTCTTACATACTTCTTGAAGTGATTTGTAAAGTTAGGCTACGGAGAAGGAGTGTTTTTCTCAACCAGGCAAGTTTGACAATTGAATCCTCAGAACAAAGCTGGGCCGGCCTGAATGCAACCGAGATTTGATCCACGGACCATATTTATAGTGATCAGCCTCCTAGCCAGGAACAAACAATAATCAACCATTATTTCCTTGAAATTCTATGTATAGCTTACAGTCATTACAATTAGGCTGGACAGGAGTAGATTGGACTCCAAGATGAATGACAAAACAACATTTACACCAGAATTCAGAACTTCGATGATCACCACTGACATTACTTCTGGTTTGTCACTACTGCTATCGCTGTAATATATTTAGCACGAACGAGGAAGTGCAGAGGCTCAACCGACAGCCGAAGTAAAAAATTTTAAAAACTCCTGAAAAATAAACAATGATTCCGCTAGCTAGCTAAATGTGATAGTGATTGCACAGCAGAAAAAGACAAAAAAAAGTCGAAATAATCGAGCAGAAGCGTAAAATAGGGACCGACTCAGTGTATTTGAGCTTGACATTATCAATCATGGCTAATCTGAGACTCTAGTTGTGTCCTCATTGTCAGTTCTATTGATCATCCACCTACGCAACTCGATCTCGCGGCGGGTTGTCTGGCAACAGCGCGCACAAGCGTTGCACCCTAGTGGATCTGCAGTCGGGGTAATGAGTCCTGTCTAAAATCCTAATCTTTCTTACACAATAAGGCCGGTTAGGAGGGATTCCGGATTTTGACGGAACGGAAATGGTTTTGAATCGGTAAATACGACGAAAACAAAGTGAAAGAAGGGGTTGAACTTCTAGGAAAAAGGAAATCACGGTAGAAAAAGATTTTAGGAGAGGAGCAATGAAAAACTCTCTGTTCCCATCTCATATCTTGAAGGTTTTTTGCGAAACCACCAAATTTTCGAAGCTACTCGTTCAACAGATATCAATGTCTTGTTGCAATTATCAGCCTGGATTATTTACAAAACTGCACGATTTTATTTCCTGCTCAGTTTTTGTACTGTTTCCCTGCAGAGTTCGTTTCTTGTTTCTCGCATGAGGTCATTGCTATTGAAGTAGTCAAACTATCTGTACTCCCACAATGATGAACACAAAATTTTTTTGTTCAACTTT